AGTCCCCATCCCTGGAGGTATTTAAAAGACGTGTAGATGAGGTGCTTAGGGACATGGTTTAGTGGGCATGGTGGTGTTGGGTTGACGGTTGGACTCGATGACCTTAGAGGTCTTTTCCATCCTTAATGATTCTATGATTCTGTAATTCTTGTCTGACAGTCTGCCCAGATTAGACAATGGAAGACAGACATCTCTTCGTCCGTAAGGCTGCCTAAACCGTAGTCAGCCTCCTACAGCACGTGAGCCCTAGGGATTTTCTGCCGCTGTCTTTTACAGATCTTCCTAGGTTGAACTACAATAATGTCTTTGCAACAACACTGTGAACAAAGCTTTCTAATAGTAGGTGAGAAGACAACATGCTGTCTGTGGTTTCCTCAAAGATGTATCTTTTCTTTTTCTATTTGCAGCTGCAATTTTTCTGCAGCTGAAAAGCTATACAGCGAGACTTTCAAAAGCATCTGTGGGAACCAAATCTCCAATATCCACTGAAAGTCAGTGGAAATTCAGTGCCCCAAATCTTCTGAGAGCTTTCTGAAAATCTGCCTCATCTCCTATTTGGTCCCGACTTTCAGAGAATGTTTTTAAAACAACTAAATAGTTCTTGTTTTGTTTTATTTTTTAAAAAGAGGAAAATTGTTAAGAAGATTGATGGGATTTAAAGAAAAACATGATCAGTTGTGTCAACAGCAGCTGACAGGCCTAAGTGGAAGAAGGAAGAGGACCAATTCACATCAGGCCAGAAAGAAGTCTCTAGACAATTTGGTGAAAAGAAAAGGAAAAGGAAAAAGGAAAAAGGAAAAAGGAAAAAGGAAAAAGGAAAAAAAAGGGGAGAGAGACTTTCAGCAGAGCACGAAAGCCAGACTAGGAACCCATGCAGTATCAGTTCTGCTACTGCTTCCACAATCAACAGATTAAACAAAACCCAGCATTTCAGAGTGGATTTTCTTTTCACTGTCAGAAAGCAAAAAATGTGGTCAGAGCTGCAACCGCACCCACAGCCATCAGCACTTGTGAAACTCCCTGAGTCCTGCACCTGTGAGCAGTTCTTACCTCAAAGCGGTACTGCCGAGATGGGACATCAACAGCAGTCAAGTCAGCCAAGGATTTGAACTGGGCATTAGTGTGATCTCGAAGGAAGGTCAGAACTGGAATGATCCCATCTGGATGGATCAAAAGTTCCAGCTCATTGAAACAGGTCACCTGATGAAAACAGTGGAAAGGGAATGAGTACAAACACCAACAGGACTGAACATTACACTGAATCCAGCAGGACACCTAAACAAAGAGCGTATATTGAATAGCAGACACATAATGACATCAGGTAAAGGGGCTTAATAATAGCAGTAACTTTCGTGTATTTCTGACAATCCTACCCCAGAACAACTTCTGAAAACATCTAACAAACAAGTAGTGTGTTCACTGGGTCCCGTCCCCCCCACAAGAACAACTTCTTGAACAGCACCTACCTGTACTTGCTGGATATACTTGGGCAGAATCTCAGCCACGTACTCCCCAAAAGCACACAGCTGCTTCTGTTCTACTTCATTTTTTGGTCTGACAGTAGCTAAAGAGAAAAATTAAGTTCCCAAGATTATGGCAGGGAATACAGAAAGCTACAGAAAGAGTAGTAACTCCCATCCCTGACTTAAAAATCCCTTTAACCAGTCTAGCTGCTGCTCAGTAGCTCTGACAGAAGCCAGGCAGCTTCAGGTTCAGGTAACCTGCAAAGTTTGTTTATGGGAAATCCGAAGCTAAACATAACATATACGTGTAGTAGAATATATAGGATGCTGTAACAGAGACTAGACTATAGCAACATACATGCGTTGTTGTACACAGAACAACATGGAACTAGAGACTTTGATAAGGAAGGAAGTTTGCGTCACTGCTAGGCAGAGATGTTTTTGTGCACTGTAAATACAGCAGGAGGAACAGTCCAACAAGATGACGGAGAAGCAAATAACAAGACGAAAAAGAGAGAGGCAGAGATGACAGAACAATCTGAACTCAGATACTGCTCATGACATTCAGCCTGGGTCTAGAAAGGATCTTTTTTTCTAGACAAAATAATCCTGGTTTTGTTTGATGTGCCAGCATCTAAGCACACCCCTCATAATCAAAACATCCTAGGACCTCACGTTGCCTTTTTTTTTTTTTTTGTTACGATCACAAATACTCCTCAAGATTCAGGGCAATGAGGGGTTATGAAGCTGTTGCCCAGGCACAACTTTGCACAGAACAAGCAGGCAGGCCCACGAGAAAGGATGCAGACGGGAATACAGGGTGAGAACAGTTACCGACAGCCACTTTTCTGCGCAAAATTCAGGTTTATGCGTGACAGGCGTCAACCATTTTCTGATGCACGCACTAAAAAGGTTATATCGCACAGAAACTTCGTAAGGGCAGACAAACGCCCTAATGCCGAGCCGGGAGCTGACAGGGGCACAAGCGCACGCCTCGGTCTCTTCCACCGCACCCCCACCACCACCAAACCAACGGCCCCAG